TATATATATATATATATATATATATATATATATATATATACAGCAGGAGCAGCAGCCTAACAACGCTAAACTCTCCAATGAAACACGAAGCAGCAGCAGCAGCAGCAGCAGCAGCAGCAACAGCAGCGTAGATCCACAGCAGCGGCAACAAGCAGAAGCAGCAGCAGCATCATACGGCAGCAGCAACAGCAGCAACACAACAAGGCAGCAGCACAAAGCAGCAGCAGCAGCAGCAGTAGACAGCAACAGCAGCACAAAACAGCAGCAGTAGAACAAAATTTCAGCAGCAACAAAAAGAGCATCAGCAAGATAAAACACGAGCAGGAGCATGAGGCAGCAACTAATATTAGCCTGGTCTGCGTAATGCTTAGAGTTTAGGGTTTAGGGTTTAGGGTTTAGGGTTTACACATCGAAGTAGAAGTTCGACAGAACAGGAAATCTCTCATGCAGCAGCAAAACTGAGTCTGCAGGATATGTTGTAAGACCATCAGGGTGAAGACGATGAAGGATGCCTTCATTATTAATAATAAATTTATAGTTCATCTTGCTCGATAATATCAAAACTATCTTAATCTCTAGCTAACTCCTGCTGCTGCTGTGGCTCCTGTTGCTGCTCCTGCTGCTGCTGCTGCTGCTGCTGCTCCTGCTGATGCTGTTGGTTCTCTGTTGCGGTTGCTGTTGCGGTTGCTGTTGCGGTTGTGTTCCTGCTCCTGCTGCTGCTGCTGCTGCTGCTGCTGCTGGTTCGGCGGGGTTAGGAGAAGAAAGCGAAGCTAAGGATTTGCTGCTGCTGCAGCAGACACACTGCTGCGCTGCTGTTGCTGCGGAAATGCAGAAAGCTATGATATGCTGCTGCTGCTGTTGCTGCTGCTGCTACTATAGTTGCTGTTGCTGCTACTTGTGCTGCTACTACTGCAGCATAAAGCATACAGAGGCAAGCTCGGGGCCTCTGCTGCTGTTTGTTGCTGCTGATAATTAAAAACAGAAGAAAAGAAGAAGAGAAAAGACAGAGACACAGAAAGAAAGACAGTACAAGTATACTAGAACGCAAGAAACCCCGCTGCTGCTGCTGCTGCTGCTGCTGCTGCTGCTGCTGCTACCGCGAGGGCGAGAGTGAGAAAGAGAGAAAAACAGAAGACAGAAATAGACAACAAACAAAAAAAAAGCAAACAAAGTAAAGATTCTCTTTAAATATATATTTATAATGACATCAGCAGCAAACTCGCTGGTTATAGACGCGTTGCTGCTGCAACATAACGCACAGCAGCAGCACGGTGTATGTGTAGCTACACTCTGCTGCTGCAGCTGTTTGTAAGTTTCTTACTCTATTTTTCTCTGTCTATCTTTATTTTTAATTAATACTTTCTTTCTTTTCACCTATTAAAAAAACAAAAATTTGTTTTAACGCTTTCTTCGCTCTCTATGCGTGTATCCAGCCTGCTGCTGCTGCAGTTAGTTAGATGAACGCTGCTGTTGCTGTTGCTGTTGCTGTTGCTGCTGTTGCTGCTGCTGCTGCAGCAGCAGCGTGTCTGGGGTATATTTTCCGCTGGTTTTGTTTAAATGAATTAATTTAATGCATTTATATTTATTTATATACAGCTGAAAGGCAGAGAGCTGCAGAGACACCCGCGAGTTGTCTAGACCTCTCGCTTGATATATCTATAGATATATTATATATATAGATGTATATATATATATAGATATATATCTATATCTATATCTATATCTATATATCTATATATAATAGACAAATATAATATAAACAAAATAAAACAACAAACGCAATGCAAACAAAATAAACATTCTTTTTCTTCTTTCTATGCAGGTACAGAATGGCTAGCTGCATACAGATATATATATATATATATAGATACACAGATATATATTATATATATATATATACAGATATATATATTTATATATATCTATATACATTGATATATATATATATACATTGATATATATATATATATATATACATAGCATACACTTTATGTATTATAAATCTACGTAGATCATGTACAAATATATATATATATATATGTAGATATATATATATATATAGATATATCTATATCGATATATAGATATATATATATATATTAGTATATATGTATATATGCATATACTAATAATATATCTATATGCATATATGTATAACATAGACTTTAAGTAAAGTTAATCTATTTAAATATACAAAACGCGTAAATATAAATATAAATATTTAGACTTTTTAACGAAGGAGACAAACAAAACAAAACAAATAAACAAAACCTTTTTATATATTATTTATAAATTTACATATTTATTTGTTTATTTGTTTATTTGTTTATATATATTTGCTTATATGTTTATAGGTTCGTTTTCTTCTACACTTATCTCTATATTTGTTTATTCTTAAATATATATATATATATATACATATGTATAAATATATATTCATATATATATATATATATATTAATGTATCTATATATATTAATATATTTATATAAATATATTGATATACT